CTACGATTAAAAAAGTAAAATGAAATCAACACGAAGAAATGGAGGTTCGAAGCGGCAAGTTTACCGACAATGACTACCGCGGATGAACACTGGGAGGATGCCGACGATGAGGTTGCTGAGGAGAAAGAAGAATTCGCCCACGAAAGTTTCAATACCTTTGGCAGATTTCAGTGGAGGAAATACAATCATTTATTATTAAGGCTTGACATAATAGCTAAAAAGAATTTTCAATGTTTGGCCAAAGGGTCTGACCAACAAATTAAAGCTACCACGGACGAACAGGAACAGTACGTCGATATTGTGGATTGAGCGGGAATGGACTTGGAATTATTGTTTTCTTCTTTTCTTATCTCCTTTCCATGTATATTTATTTAAAAAAATAAGGAAAATATCTAAAAATTGCGTGCGTGTTAACACGTTAAATAAAAGCTGGTAGAACTGCGAATATATATTCTGGGTGATAAGATTTAGAAGTAAAGTCTGGGCCAAAAAGGAAGCAGCAAAAAAAAGTCCACGCAAAACAAAAGCGATACGTCTTCTAAGCGTGGACGTCAGCGATGGTCATTACCCTTTGCATGTGTCGTAAATCTCTCGGTTCTACCTACGTGGTTGGACCGCACCGCGCGTCGGGCTTCAAATCACATTCAACCAACAATAGCCATTGCAAATTGAATGCATCCGCTTGTGGAGCCCCGAACATATTATTTACCGGATAGTTTTAGTATGCTGCTTTTTGACGCAGCAAGATTTATATTCAACTTTTTAAAGCCTGAAGAAGTTTACACCTTAAAGGGTTCTTTAACGCGCAATATACCCGCAGAAAACTCCTTTCGCTTTTTCATTTTTGAAATCGCCCGACAATGACAATGAACACCTGAGCAAATCAATTTTATTTCGTGAGAACGAGGTTTGTTAAATCGACGTCCAAACTTCGTCATAGCGTACATTGACAGTGAAATAAAAAGTAGCGGTATTTACGAGATGAAATCTTAATAGGTAAAACCTTTTTCAAAGCAGCTTATTATTTACTGTGTAAAGGTATTTGAAATTGTAAACCGTGTTCTCACGGTCCAATGTCACGTAAGAAGCAGCTTGCAGTCAGGCGAAAATCCAAAAAATTTTGGAAGGGGGCTCCCCCAAGAAAACAGCTTCCAAAAACACAAAAATTTTTCGTCCTTTCTATTTTTGCAAACTTCCCTTCCATCATAAGCCATGGTCAGTTCCTCATCATACCCTTCATCAGTGCACCACACACCCAACCTCAGTTCAACATGACGTTTTGTGAGAGATGCTGTTTAGACGGACGGATGCAATGATGTGCGGTTTGGAATGCTGGAAATAATAGGATTAGATGGGATGGGATTGGATGGGATGGTTCAGTATGGAATGGGATCATAGGAGAATTTTTGGCGGGAAGATGTGTGTGTCGCTGATGAGAACGCATCAGGTTAATATATCTGAGGTCAAGGACAACCACACAGCACAACCACAACCACAGCATTTGCAAACAACAAAAGTAACAACAGTAGGACGATAAATATGGAAACTGCGGAATGACCGTCGTCAGAATGCATTATATTCAGCTTGTGAAATCGGCAAATCAGGATTTTAAGTTGTGCTATTTGAGGGCTCGTTATGGATCATCAATAATCTACGTCTCAGACCTGGAACCTCTCTCAGTTTTTCTCTGCATTCTTTGTCTCAAAGATCTGACTTTTGTTTTATTGTTTGAATCTATCAGACCAAGGGTACTCAAGCGTTCGGTAAGAAGCAAACCAAGTCCCACACTCTCTGCAAGAGGTGCGGTCGCCGTTCATTCCACAACCAAAAGAAGACTTGCGCTCAATGTGGTTACCCAGCTGCCAAGATCCGTCACTGTAAGTTTATTTTCTTTCTTTTGTGTTTTTGCTTTGCATGGCTATGTGTGGGAGGGGTTCAAAGCCTTGCATAGGGGATGGGTTCAGGCTTTTGGAATTCGGATTTATATTGTTGAGGAATGATCATGGAGAGCAAGATACTGACAGAAACCATGTTTGTTCCTCTTTCATTATAGTCGAGTGGTCCGAGAAGGGCAAGCGCAGGAAGACCACTGGTACTGGCCGTGTCCGCTACTTGAAGACTCTCTCCAGAAGGTTCAAGAACGGTTTCCGGGAGGGTGAGTTTTTCATTCTTACTTTTGGATTGTAATTGCCAGATCACCTTAAATCATTCATCGAAACTAATGCTATGAATTACTGGCATAAATTAGGTACCCAAGCCAAGAAGATCTCTGCTTAAATTTCATGTTGCTAGCTGATAGTTCTTCTTAGACTTGGGGTTTAGTTGATGTGGAGGTTAATTTTTTTTTACCTGGATTGTAAATTGGAGATTCAATAATCGATCGCTTATATTCTGTTTTTTGGGCGTCAACCGGATTCATTCATGATCCAGGGGAAAAAATGTGCTGTGTTGTGTGGAGTAGTTGGGATGACGTGAGGTTTGGATGAGGCTGGAAACGGGCGCCCTTTGCTGTGATGGCAAGTAGCCCGATGTTTATGAATAAACAAATCCGGAGTGTATTATCATTAATATGCACAAACAAAAAACTACAAAAAACTTGCGGATGATCGCAGGCTCATTAACACGTCATGTCCATTTCATCAATTAGCCTTTTTGCCCTTATCTATTTTTACACTGGGCCTTTGAAACACCCGAGCTCTTCTTAAGAAGCTGAATGTTTATCTTAATTACCTCTTACTCATTAATTATAAAAGTTCGCCAATGCATCAATGCATGGAAGAGAGCTTGAATAATGGAAGTTCAACTTATTACCAAAGGAATGAAAAAAGACTGTGAGCACGTAACTGCAAAAGGAATTCAAGACACGACCGAGAGCAAAAGAAGATAACAAGAACTGCCCGGCAAGGAACAACACAATGTAATTTAAGACACGAGAGGATGCAGGGCAAAAGGGCTTATTATCCTCTCTCGCGGGATCGAACCGCGTGCCTTGAGATGTCCATCAAGATCAGTTACAGTCCCACGCTCTTCCAGGATGAGCTAAGAGAGGTTGCGATCAGCGGGAAATCTGAAGCTCTATGTTCCATACGTGGCGGCTGGAGCGATCACAACACTCCAGCAGGCACGACGAGGGCTGCCATACCACGGTGGTGTCAAAGAAAGAAAGGGGTTTTCGAACACCGCCTCGTGTTTGGCCCCGTATGTATTTAAGAAAGTCACAATCAAGTACGTGTGTATAATGATTGTCGATATCCACCATTTTCTTCACTTCACCTTAACTTTCCTTTTGCTATTAACACTCTGAAGTCTGTTTGTTTAGCCTAAGAATGCGTCAATTGTATAAGTATGCCAATTTATTTAAGAGAGCTGTATATTGAAAATGCCACTTATTTCCACGATAAACTCAAAGAAAGAAAACGGGTTTTGAAGAAGCCACATCGTATGTCTTTAACACAGAGTCACCTTATTAATGATCGTCAATATCCAACATTTTCTTCAGTTCACATAAGATAACCTTCCTTTTGCTATCAAACGTCGAAGCCTAGTTGTTTGCGTAATTGTACCAATGCGCTAATCTATTTGAGAGAGATTATCTGGTGACAATTCCTCACTTTCTTTTCTACGGTGCCAAAAGAGATTGAAATCCATTCGTGCCTTTGCTTAAACACCCTGGCGACATTGCTAGACGCTTTTTTTCAAAAATGAATACCTAGAGCACATTTTTAAGGTTCGGGAGAAGAAAAATCGACATATATTCAACAATGAAAAACACACATGTGATAAATATTGCATAAACCAAAAACGATTGAGTAAAGCAAAAATTAAAAAAAAAGATCACAAAGAGTTAACGCGGGAACGTATTTAAAAGAAGACAAAACAGAACAACTTGACGCGATGGGAAAGAATAGAAAAGCGCAATAAAAAAAGTGCATTGGAGAAACAGAATCAAAACAATAAAAAGCGTTTAAGTGTCAAAAGTAACAAGACAGACTTCATAAATCATCAACACTCATCCCCCAAACCAAAATCATTATCCAACTCCAACCCCCAGAAAGAACTTTCCATCAAGAATATCTTTCAGAAAACCAAACGAACACAAGGAAAAATGAGCCCTCTTCATCGTATTCAATCCCCAATGTCTTCAAGCCAGAAGACCCAACAACATACTAACTATATTTACAATCAACATCCATTTTAGAATCACACCTGTTCATACTACCGCCACCACTAGCCTCACCAGTAACAGCAGCAATCAAAGCGTCAACATTAATCCCAACATGCACATTACCATCACCACCACCACCAACAAACCCATGCAAAGCCCCCTCCAAACTTTCAGCAGCAGCATTCCTAGCATTAGCAGACTCAACTTCAGCCCCAACAAGAATACTCTCAAAAATATTCATCGCAAACGACAATCGATCCGAAAATGATTGAAACTTCTTCGTTGTAGAACTCATGTTACTTGAAGAAGATAAATACGAAGGCCGATAAGTATACGTTGATGATGATGATGAAGGTACATGATTGTTGTTGTTACTAGATTCATCATTATCAGATCCAGAACGAGATCCAGATCGTGATGAAGATCTTGAAGAGGATGATGACCCCGTCGACATTCCAAATCCAATTCCCATATCTCTCATCATCTCTTCAGCAATAGCTTGACTCGTGTGCGTATCCACTCCAGACTCCATCTCAAGATCAATAGGACTGATTCCGGCATTAAATTCATCCCCATCAGTACCTTTAGCAGTACCAGTGGTAGCATGAGTAGAATGGGTAGGACTGTGAGGTCTCGATCGATTAGGAGAGTGTACTTTGCCTCCATTACCACCACTGTTTCGACGACGAGAAGATGAAGAATGTAAGGGTGATGATGATGATGATGACGATGACGATGAAGCGTAGAGAGCTTTAGTTTCAAGAGCGAGGGAGATGGGTTTTTGTGATTTGAAACGGTCTCGGATTGCTGTTATCATTGTCATTCTTTTTACGGGTTCTGAAATGAGAAGTTTGGCATACTCGATTAAAAAGTCACGCTGTTGTATGTATTATTTGATTAGATGATGGGTTAGCTCAAAACTCGTGTGAATACGTCAAGCAAACAAACTATGGAAAAGAAAAACTCACCAAAAAGACCTCCCCCCATCTCAAAACAGTAGCAACACTTTTCACAAGATCCCTGGTCTCATCAACACTCCAAGGCTTAAGAACCAATTCATCAGCAAACTCCAATTCGCCATTAACCCCATTTCCTTCAGTGAAATGATAAATGAATTTGGCTGTTGATTTTGACGTTTCACCAATCAAGAGGACGTTGACGACTTCGTGTCGACGGGATCTGTCCCATTTGCTCGCAACGGCCGCCAAAAGACGACTGAACTTTCGGGATTCAATCTTGTACCCGTAGAACTAATATATAGGAAGAAAAAAAAGAATTGAGGCATAAGAATGTGGTTTTGTTGCCGAACAATGATAAGATGTGTGATAAGATTTGCACGAGAAAATTGTCTATAAGTGTGGCAATCCCCCTCCCATTGTTCTCATTGAGCCAAAAAATTTTCAAATTCGCTGGGCCACCTCATTAGACAATTTATTAAGCAGAAACGAGGCACAATTTTTGCGCACAGAGGCAGCAGACAGACCCGGCTGAGGAGAGGCAAACTCCATGAACAATCAACACAACGAGACGAGAAGCTCATCAATGCAAAGAGACCCATTCCCCACGTTGTCAGTCTACCAGGTTTTCAACAATTCCATCTGATGTACCTCATATTCATATATCGCCCTTTCAGTAAAACCATGAATGGCCAAAGAATTCCAATGCATGAGTTTTTGAAAGAGAAAGCCTTGTTACTACAACTCACCAATTTGAGCATGATTTCCGCAACCGAGGCAACACTCCAACCGCTAGTTAAAAATTGAAGCACTCGAACCAGGACTGCAGGATCCTCATCCGCATATTGGTCAAACATTTTACGCTAACATTGTTTTTTTAAAACAAAAGAAGGAAGGTTAGATTGTCTGTCAGCCGTACAAACAAAGGCAATACTATGGTTTGCTGGATGCAGAATCACAGATAGAGGATATTCATTCATGCATATCGGATCAATCTAGAGAACAGTCCCTTTTCATTGCCAATGCTTTCCTGATGAGGTTATATGCCTTCTAAACCCATACACACAATCTTCCATCCATCCACATGTCCGTCCTCTTGACATCCAATAACATCAAACGACCGATAACCCGAACTAACATCAAAGGAAATAAAGAGATATCCCAGATATATACACAAAAAACAAAAGAAAATACCAACCTTAAAGGTACAAAGATACCCAATATTCGCTTCCGATTTAATCCAAGAATAAAATGAAGTTCCATACAATCTATCCATTTCTCGAAGTGACTCTTCAATATCTTCAACTGATTCTGGTCGTTTTCCAGATGAAAACATATGTGTTGGTGTCAATTCGAGGGGTTTTGCTGCTGACATTTTCTTGTTTAATGGTTTTGGATCACTTGGGAAAATCGACTGATTGTTGTTGTTGAGTTTTGTTGGTTTCGTTCGATAGCAAGTTTTTCTAACTAGTAGTCTATGTGTCCGCCCAACCTTATAGCTCTATAGAGAACAAATAAAACACAATGCCTTTGTTGAGACTTGTCCTTCTGTGATTGTTGTTGAGCTGGTTCTGTTGATTGTTGATTGTGAAGACTTTGACTTGAAGGGCTTGTAGGGGTGTTTTGTGACTAAATGCTGAATTATTATTCTTTTTTTGTTTCCAGAGGATAAGCCTTTTCCTTTGTCAAGTTCAACTAAAAGAGGGGGGTTTATTGTGGCGGTTTGTGTTTTGCTGTGTGGGGAACGAATTGGCTGACTTCAACAGGCGCTTTGTTGAAATGTTATTGTTTTGGGGAAGTACATATTATAAGGAGGTGGTGTGTCAAGGAGGAGTTTTTTAAGTTTTGGGAGGGATAAAGCCGATTGTTCAATAGCTGTTTGAATCTGTTGATGAGATAACCGTTTTTATCAGGTTTCATCGTGAAAGGGAGTGATGATCTGACAGGGGCTCTTCAAAAAAAATTGTCAAAATTTCTTCAAAATGGCCATCTTTTTCGACAAGTCAAAGAACAGATGAGAAGAAGCGAAAACGACAGTCAGGAAAGAGGTATTCAAAACAGAAAGTGTAATGTCATTCATTGATTCAATTTTTTTTTTTCTTTGTTCTTATATATTTCTTATATTTTTTTTTTTGGTACTTGTTTTCCTTTGTGATGTCTTTCTACCCTCCCAATAACATCCATTCTGCTACGAACAAACACACTCTTCAAAGAAGTAAACAAAAACAGAAAGGGAGTTCAAAAAAGTATCACATTTACAATCCAAAACACGACGACATAAAAAAAACACCGAAAATAAGTGGATAAAACAACCCCCCCCCCCCCCCGAGTGAATAACCCCCCACAACCCACCCACCAACCAAAAGAAAAAATCATAAAAAACAAGACACACAAAAAAAGTTAAACAACGGGTGTGATAAATACAC